TTAGGTTGTGGTTTTGTTGTGTGTGTGTGTGTGTGTGTGTGTAAAATAGAAGATTTAAAGAAATAGTTGCTGGTAAAGGACATTTTTAATGAGAAGGAGCAGTCTGGCCTAGTGGTGTTAGCACAGGCTTAGCAGCTGGGACTCCAGAGTTACAATTCTATCTGACACCAACTCCCTCTGAACTTGGAGAGTTTGAGGCTCCGCCCTGCTACTCCATCCATCCTCCCTCCCTGTCGCTCACTCTCACTCACTTGCTCATTTTCACCAGGCTGAAGATGGTCCCTTTTCAACCAGGTGTTCCAGTTGAAAAACGGGACACCTGGCAAACCTAGTTTACTTACTTTCTCCTGCTTTGGTTCCCCCCGTGTTAAATGGGAATAGTAGTACTTTTCATCAATCTCATACAGGAGTTGTGAATTGTAAATGTTTGCAAAATGCTTTGAAGATGAAAAGTGCTATAACAGGGCTAAATATTATTAATGAACATGTTCTTAAGCTTAATAATTACTTTCATCATCTTTGGGACTGGTTAATTTCTCTTAAATAAGACAGCTATCTCGTGAAAAATGTTGTCCCCCTCCACAGTCCATTCCTTTAGTGTGTCTGCTTCTGGTAGTGTAATTATTTTTTAAAACAACATTGTGAGTGACATGCAACCCATGTGCGATGTTGCCATAAACTACAATTTATGTCCCACGATTACCAATGCAAAAAGAGTGTAATTTAAAAACAAAGACAATAGGGAAGCCATCTCAATTTTTTTTGTTTTATTTTCTAATCATCATCATCATGATATTGTGTTAGCCATGCAATCAGAACAATGTGTATCTCAATAGCATTATGAAGCTAGTTCCAGTTGTGAAAAAATAAATAATAAATATTAAAGCAGCTAGAATCTCCTGAGAACCCAGCTGGAACTCATGAAGACTCAGAGGTAGAATGGGAAGGAAGAAGAGAGGAGGATGCAGAAGAGAGTCCAGCCACTAGTTCTTGAGATTCTTGAAGCCACTGGCCAGACAAATTGCAATAGGAGGACACCACTAATGATCCAGGGCAAATTCTCTGTCCTTACTCAGGCAAATGCTCATGGAAGTCAAGAGGAGGTTGTTTGGGCAAAGAATGAGTAACGATCTCAGGATTTGGCTTCTGTGAATGAATTGCTTCAGGTAAGATTGCACTATGCTTTTGTCTTACCAGGAAAGTTTGCTCAAGGCAGGTTTTCAATGAAAACACCTGAGCCTGATCTACACTAGTATTTATACTGTTGCTAGCACCAGTGTGGCTGCACCCTCAGAGTCTGAATAATTATCTAATCCAGCTATTGGATCTGTGAATACCTAATCAGGGTAGGATTCTGAAAATAAAGTCTTGTGCCAGAAATCTCAGCAAATAAAATGTTCTACAAGCCCCTCAGAGAAGCCTTGGGCAGCAACTTCTGGTTAAATGGGTTCTTCCAACCACTTTCACTGTCTCCGAGCTGTATGCTTAGCTTCATCTCACAGAACTCTATTTTGTGTGGATCACTAAATGCAAGTAACCTGCTCAGTATTCTGCCTATTGATTTCACCAGGTAGAGGATTTAAGCCCAGATTTAAAACCAAGGGAAATCTCTATATTTCCTCTTCCACATTTCATTCAAGGACCTATTTTACTTTCTCTGTAGGCACATGCATGAGAAACAAATTCCACGAGCCTCTTAGGGGAAGATTGTGCGGAGAAGAGGTCTCTCTCCTATTCTATATTTTGCAGGGCTCCTTTCACGGCAGCTGAGGCAGAGGCACAGGGGAGGAGGCATGGTCTTAGTGAGCTTCTGTATTTGAAGAAGGCACATAAAAAGAGGAGCCCCGGCACAATCACCAAAGGGCACATTTTGCAGATGAAAACACAAATGATAAAATTATGGGAGTTAGTAGCCTAAATACCTTTAAAAATCTGGCCCTTTGGGCCTTTTTAAACATCACTCTCCAATTTCACACTCATACAATAAATCTATTAACCCTCCCCTTTCCCATGTCTTCTGAAAAAACAATGCCAGCCCTGACCAATTAGGACTCCGGCTGTTGCCACTCTTGTGCTTCATCCTTTGACTGTACTGGAGTTCTCTCTACCTACTTCTCTTGGGTTTTTATGTAGTGCCTGTCACCATGGTATCTAAGGACTGTGGTATCTACAATAAATCCAATTTCAGTTGTAAGCTCCTCAGGGCAAGGGCTTATCCAAAGTATATACTTTGTAAAGTGCTGTGCTCATCTATGAAATTTTATCAACAATAAAAAAAGTGGGGCATGCAATCCAAGATTGCACGCAACGATCTAGAGGACCAAAACATGAGCTCATGTAGTTTATATGGGGGGGGGGGCGGG